CCTCCAGCAGTGCTTGGAAAGGTCCAGGACCTTTTGAAATCCCTGCTGGGGCTTCAGCTGAGGGTTGTCTGTAGGCTCCTGTGGCATGTGGGGGCTGCTGAATCTCAGCTTTTAATACAGGTCAGTCCAGAACCCCACTGCGAGCTAAAAGAGGGAAAGGTAATTGTAGTTTCAGTCTAGTCAAAGTACTTCTGCTATCTGGTAAAATTTAGGAGAGGTTGGTCAGGAAATTCTGGGTTGGTTTCAGCTATTAACATGGTATGAACATGGAATTATAGAATCATAGAATGGTTAGAGTAGGAAGGGACATATAAAATTGAGTTAGATTGATTTTCCAACTATGAAATAGATACAGTTCTAGCTATAAAACAGGAAGAAAACTGAATGAATAAGGCTATGGCTGACCTTTAAAACTGGAACTTTTATAATTGTGAAGAATTGGGTAGAAAGGGAAATCCAGTTTCAAAGGAATAGCTATGACTTACAGAAATTTAAACTTGATAAATCCAAGTAGTAGAACAGAATTGTTTGTTTTAAGGGCAGAATCTTTTAAGGATCCTTAGAAGGGTTCCAGCTCATCAGGACAGGAGAAAGTTTAAAAAAAAAAAATTGAGTGCCAGCCTGGATGGTTCCTTTCCTCCCACCATGAATTTAAGCTGTTAAAGGTGGCAGAAGCACTCAGTGGTGAAATGGGGCAGGGGAGGTGTGTCTCTGAGCGAGAACTTAGATAACATTTAGCCTGATCAAAATTCTATTCCGGGTATTCTGCAACAAATGGAAATTTGGCATCTACACAATGTGCAACCTGAGGCATGTGAAGATCAAACGTCACATCTGAAAGTTGGAGTTATTCCAGCTTAGTGCAACTATCAGTGCTTCCTCAAGAAACGATGACACTGATAAACCTCAGTAACCAGTGAAAGAATTGAGTGGTAGTAGTTCAGCTGTCTTTGTAAACACTTGGAAACCTAAAACCTCTCTAAAATAGTCTATCCTTTATCCCAAAGACTTCCTTTTTCCAATACTTCCTGGTCCACTGATTTTTTTTTCAACATTAGCAGTAAATGGTGCTTTTTATACCGTTGTTAAAAAGCCAGAGATTCCACTGGAACCATCTAGTTCATCTCACTTCAGAGCATGCCAGGAAACTTTCCTAAATAAAATCTTTAAGTAACACAGTTATGCTTGACCTACAGCACAAGATAATTCAAATACTTCCAGCAACAATCACAACCGTTGTTATTTGTTGTAATGACTAATTAGATTTGCTGTTAAAAGAAGGGTTGTTTTTTTTTTTAAGTTCTTTTGTTTTTTAAATTGCTTACCTTGAGCTTTTTTAAAAATAAATTTCTTCAGTTTAACATATAAACAAGGATCCTGCCTTACAGGTAAACCAGAGACTGACTCTTTTCACCGAGGAACTACATAGAGAAGTAACTTGCCTTCCCTCACACACACACTAACACACTGCCGGTGCCCTCTGGGATGGCAGTTATGTAGACTCTAGCACTGCACTGTTACAGGCTAGCAAGAGTGGTTGAGAGACTGGACATAATGCAGGACAATGTTTGAGTTAACATAATCACAGAGCCTAGTCTAGAGCAATGTGACATTTGGCTAGCTCAGTACGCTGGCAGAGCAAGCTTGAGTTTGCCAGACAGACTGCGTAGACATACCCTCACATATCCAAAGATCCTGTTATTCCTTAGAGTCAGTTATGCTCTAGTAACCTGCCTTGGTTTGACTATGCATTCTGGGACACTGCTCTGCTCTGATTTTTTTCCTCCAAGTTTAAATATATGGATTTTTTTTTCCATACAGGTCTGACTAAATTTTCAAAACCCATATTTTCAGACACAGTCTTTAATTTAAACAAACACAGATTTTAGACAACTCACAGGACTTACCATACACTTACAGGATATAAAGTTGAGTACAAACAGTTCCCTAAATTGTGACACTTGCAGCCCCTAATTTAGGAATGAGAAAATAAAGTGCACTTCCTTTCAATAGTACTGCAGGCTGTTGTATGCAGCTAACTGAAAACACAGCAATGAAAGGCTACAAATGGGCACTGAACCATTGCAATGAAATGCCATTTACAAAAAAAAAAGCAAACAATGCCAACATTGAAAGAGGGACTACATGGAAAAGGAAGTTCTAGAAGTCAACAGCCCTGAAATTCACTGCATTCTTTCATGCATGCAGACAATTTTATAACCCAGATAATTAAGCAGAAGAGTAGATTTGTTTAAAAGGCCAATATCACTGCTTTCTATACAATATTTATAAGCAGTCTCACTGCCAGGGAGTACAGCATAAATTTCAGACAGACAGCAAATGCCTACTTTTCTAAGTGTTAAAGAAACATAGTCCTGAATTTTAGTTTATATATTTCAAGTTTTTATAAGGTCTTCAATTAGTTCTTTGCTACTATCAGGTGTAGTTTTCTATAAATTTAGTCTTTACATTTCAATTAAAGTTGAACTATAACAGTCAAGAACATGACATCTATTTTTTTCTAGTGAGAGCTGTGCACAAGACCTAGACCAGGATACTTTGCTTGTAGCTGACCCCATAACACACTATCTCAACATAAAAATAGGTGAATATAAAGCTGATATTAGCTCTGTGTCAGTTGTGGTTCAATTAGTTTAAATCTTGATGTTGAAAACAAGACTGAAGGAAGTGTGCATGCTTACCAGCAACTGGCTGACAAGGTACCAATCCAACATAAATTGGAATAAAGTAACAAGCAAATCCAGTAAGCACAGTGGGGTGGTTTTTTGTGAGTGTTTTGTTTGTTTTTTGTTTTGGTTTGGGTTTTGTTTGTTTGTTTTTTGTGTCCCTCCCCTCCCCAACAGGTTATATTTGCAGCTTTTAAGGCAGCTCTCAGTTATTTAACTATTTCTGAGATTTTTATGAAAGTGAAAAACTGGTCATATGTAACAATAATATCCTTAACCTCCAAGGATAGATAAGCTCTCGTTAGGACCTCAACGAATTTGAGGACAGCATGTAACTGAAGATTTAACCAATACTTCAACTTCAGTAAAAATGCTTAGAGAACTAGGAATAAGTACAACTCCCCACAAGGGCAGCCTGAAAAAAAAACCATAGGCAGATTTGTCCTTCCCTGTTATATGAAAAACAAAATGTCAAAATGAACATCAGAAAAATGAAACAGCTCACACCAAAATGAACTTACATTGATAAACTTGTACAGAAAGACTCCATATTGCTTCCTAAGAGATATTCTCAAGAGGAATTCAGCAATGGGAATATATTTATTTCGTGTCAATTTCATTCAGAAGTGTTTATCATTTATCATTACTGAAGAAAGTTGGCTATGTGCAAAAATCAGTTTGTAACAGTTTAGCTCATCATCAAATCAACTTCACATTGCCTTCTATTAAGGTATAGACTTCTGTACTTCCCATCAATAGGGATTTCTGAACATTAATGAACATAGAATTATTTTAAAGTAATTCAATGAAGTAGGCTTACCCATTAAGAGAATGCAGAGGACTATTTTAAATGCAGCGTTATAAAAAGATTCTATTATTTGGTTTATAAAAACTAGAATAGTTTTCCAAGTGAATATATGTTTTCACCTCATATGAGCAAAGTATTACATTATAAAAGTCATTAAAACTTTGACCTTTTAAGTGGTAAAACAGAAAGTCTTTGATGTTTGCCCAAAACTCTCCTGGGTAAATGGTACCCTGAATTCTACAAACCAAACAGTGGAAAGATTTATTTTTTTCACATTTTTAAAAAATATTTCAGACTATTACTTTAGTAACAGTGTATTTCAACAAATTAAAGGCTCTTAGGTATTAGCAACAATATTTGAGACTGTACAAAAAAAGGCCTTTTCTTTTTCAAAGACAGGAATTAACACTTTAGAACAGAGAATGGATACAAACCTGTCTTCTTCGATAACAAGCCAAAGAATCTTCATGTTCTTCCACATTCTGCAAGTTGTTCAGACCTAGAAGACAGTTAAGAGGACCAGTGAGGAGTCAACATTAAGGCAGCAGTTTTGTATTCTACTATTTACATGAGACAAAAATGTACAGCGTTTTGATATGCTTTGACTGGGAAAATTTCAGTGTTTGTTTATATACAAATGTACTTTTATATATGTATACACATGAATCTCAGACCAAGGACTCAAAAAATAGTCTGTTCAAAAAAGTCACTTCATTTTTCTATGCAATAGAGCTCACAGAAGAACTCCATTTTAAACAAATGGCTAAAAAGTGGTTCATAATAATGAAACATTTTTATTTCATTTTGGTAAAAACATTCTTACTCTACAAAGAGAGAATGGAAACTAACCAGCAACCAGAGCTATGATACTTCGTATACAGGTTCCATCCTTCCACAGAACATGTGTCAGGTTCTGACTGTGGCAAGCACGCAAGGATTCTTAAAGAGTTTGACCTTTTAAGTACAACATGGTCACATGCAGAAGCTATAATCATCATCTTGTGGTAAGACAGTGCTAAGGGTTTTCAAAACCTACTTATAAATATTATATAATCCATGTTCTAAGTTTTTAAAAAGTAATACAAGGAATATAACACTTACTCTGAAGAACACCTCTCACTCCACATTTCCGTCTTGAACGAGGCCTGCAAGGAACACAGAACTTAAGTAAAAACACACAGAATTTCATGAAGTGTCTATGACCAAGAACAACAACAAAAAATAGTTTTTTACCTTATTGTGGGGTTTTTTATGATTCCAGGTGACTGATATGTAATACTCTGTTGCTTTTTCACTGATCTTAAAAAAAAGTTCTAGTTAGCAACTTGTCATTTATGTGATTCAACAATATTAATATAAAGATTCTTTTACAGAAACAGTGGCATACAAACACTAACTACTTCAATCCATTAACCCTCTTAACTTTGCCTCCCTATACCTGGAGGATATATACACAAGGCATTACATATTTGAGCTGAAGACATGAGGTATTTTGCTCGTCTATTTTTTCAGACCTTCTTCACAACCTAGGAATGCTTTTCATAGTTGTTTTTTTTTTAAGTAATTCATCATACCTCTCAGATATAATTGTGTCAGGAGCTGTCCTTTAAATAAAAAAATCTTATGACTTGTCTTTCTGTATACTGTCTGCATCAGTCAATTTTCTTAACTAAACAGTGCCAAGTATTCAAAGTATAAAACTGCCGAAATACAAGTTCTGTCCCAACTAAATACTACAATTTATTCTTCATGAAAAACAAGTGGTGACAAACCTAGAATATTAGTATTTTTTCCAAACTAAAGTCAGGGAGGAGGAATGAACTGGGCTTTAACTTCCTCCAGCATTTCTTAGAAAAGCATGTAATTGTTTTGAGGGCTCACATTGCCAGCATCATGAAGCAACAATTTCTCATCACATTAGTATCGCTAATTAAGAGACTCTTGTGTTTAGCTGTATGGAAAAAGTGATAGACTAATTTCCTTTCCTTACCCTCTTTCTTCTCCAGACCACCTATAGTCTGAAATTATGAGGGCAGGACTAAAAGGAGCTCAATCAAGCATAAAGAAAAAAAAACCCAAACTGAAGCACTTACATGTTTTTGTTGTTATACAAGACTGACAGCTGTTCAAACTGAAAAATGTGCATCTTCAACAAGTACATAACGTTAAGCTATTTGATATAAATGCCAAAAGTAACAACCACAGAAAAGCCAAAAATTAAAAACAAGGTATGTGCTTATAGTTAATTTTCTATTGGACAACAGTTTGGAATTTAATGCACTTCCTTCTACCTATTTAGAGGGTTCAAGTCATTGTCCAAGCACATCTCTCAGCAGTATAATGCTTCATACAAACCTTCGTTTTGTTTCCAAATTCCTTTTGTCTTTTTCATGGACGTTCACAGTTGTGTTTTGCAATAGTCTTGCTCCAGATCCTTTAGACTCTATCTCTTTTGTGGCTGCCTGTGAGAAACAGAATTGATACTTCAAAATTAAAGCCAGATAGTACCTTAATTGTAGTTTACATTAAGATCAATATGCATATTCTCTATTAGGACTAACTGCTTATTTCAGAACTTTCAGAGGTATTAGCGTCAAAATAAGTTTCAAAACAACCATATTGTGTTAGGTTGAAATTCATCACTACCTTTACCAGCTAATAACTCAGAAATTTTAGTCATAGTGGCAAGTGTTATTTATACGGACACAAATAAATTCAGTGAATACTTGCATAGAAAGCAAACGTAGATATGTGCGAAATAGATTGCAGAGATTAACTACTAACACTATCAAAGTACTCCAAAGTCTTTAGAAACTGAAAACTGACAGGCCTCACAAATTCATCTGCTTCTGTTGCACATGGCAGGATCAAGCATGCCTATAACACTTTCAAAAGATGTCTAATCAGACTTTAGGCTTGTAATGTAACAATTGTAATGTAAGAATCCTGCCTAAACTTTTAGCGACAAACTAGGATTATTTCTCCTCCGTTCCCAAAAGGAGGAAGGAATAGGTCAATAATCTTCACAGAATGTCCAAAGGATTGTAAAATTTGTACTTTCCCCTAGATTCCTCCACCTTCCAAAAAAACCAACAAAAAACAACCAAACAAAAGAAATCCCACCAAACCAAAAACCCAACAAACAAACCCAACAAATTAGTCCATTCTTTGCTGTCAACTTTCTTCTCTAGCATCTTAAGGTATACTTACTGCTCAAATCATAAAAAATAATCCTTGTTGTGCACCATCATTACTGAGCAGAGTCTATCATCTTCCATCCAACACTGTCTATACATTCCAATAAGTGATCTGTTTTGCAACAGTCAAATATCATAATTATTCAAAATTGACAGATCACTACAGGCCCATTATTAGTTCTCTTTATGCTTAGCCAGTTGCTCCCACTTTTCACCTATTTTTTCCTTTCAGGGCTTGCTTTTGCCTCCCTGTTAATTTTCTGTCATCCATCTAATTTTCAGTCTTCTTGAAATCTTAAGCTGTCCTTCACAGTAGCTTGCAGAATCTCTCAACATTTATGAAAGTCAGATAATACAAAATCATTCTTTATTTCATTCATTCAACCATGAAAATACTGGAAGGTATCGTGGTGACAGAACACTTCCAACCACAGAAGAAAATGTTTCACTGTCAAATTTTATACCTACCCAACTACTACATATTTCAGCTATAAGTTTACAAAAGGTCACGTAGTTCCACCCCCCTGCAGTAAGCAGGGACAGATACCAGATCAAGTTGCTGAGAGCTCCATCAAGCCTGACCTTGAATGAATGTCTCCAGGGCTGGGCCCTCCACCACCTCACTGGGCAACCCGTTTATACTTTGAATGCATTTAATAAGTTCTCTAGTCTCTCTTTCTGGTAAGAAAATGAAAACCCCAGAGGAACTTCAGGTTTGTTTATTTAAAATTTGCTTCTTATTACCTTTAGATGTTTGTGCTTTTGTAATCGAGTAATTCAATATTCTTTCATAGGAGGTAAACATAAGAGAAATTCTTTACAATCCTCCTGAAGATGAGCTGCAGGAGGAATGTTGTGGTTGCCAATTTTAAATCACTTTTGAGCAAGATGATTTGTAAGGAGCTTTCTTATTTACAGAAAAACAGCAATAATAGTTTTCTATCACCTAACTCCTCCGGCATCCCTAAAGCTTTCACCCAATTAACATGGGTGATTGATCTTTTAATTTTAGTAGGAGAAGTCATATAGACTTAAACAAAATACACAATAAATATATAGTTACATTATCTTTTAAGGAGTCTCAGATCAGAATGGCTTCTCTTAAACATACACTAATGACAGACCTCGTTTTAATTATGCTTTTTTCCTAACTACTTTTCTAATCAAAACAGTTGTGGAAAAAACATACACAAAAGATATTTTAGGGGAGTCTTACTCCTACTAACTTTCTCCTAAACATATATTAAACATGTTTTTTTAATTAATAAGACAATCTAAAGGAATTTAAAGCTTCCTTTTCATCTAATACAATAACTGAGTATTGTCTAAACAACTTCCTTGGCAGTATGAATTTATTTAATCTTACCAGGTACCACTTTTGAAATAAGTTTTGAAAATAGTTTCAACATACCTGTAGTAAGAAGTTAGTTTCATTTTCTCTCATGAACAGTTCAATGTAAGACTTGATTTTACTTATCAGAAGACTGTAACTGAAGCTTTCGAGAAGGGGAATATAAGGATCCTTGTTTTTAATTATGGTTGCCAGCTTCATCCTTAAGGGCTAAGAAAAGCACAGCTTTATACAACATAAAAATATATCCTGCAGTAAACTTATACACCTATGCTAAACAGGACATACGCAAATCTAAGCATCATGATTGTAGAGTTTTCTGAATATGCCTATACAACTTCATACTACTGTTTGAAAGTTCATGAGCTATAATACCAAGAGTTTACCTTATATGGTCAGTAAACGGTTACGTGCAACTTTCTAGATATCCTCATCATTTTCATTCCCTTTATGAATAATGAAAGCAGAGTTGTCAATGGAACAAAAACATCCTGAAAAGGCCAGTCATTACTAGGTTCTCTTTTTTGATTTGCTGCCTTAGAAAGATTGCCATTGAAAGGGGTTTATAGCATTCAGGAAAAGTACTATTTAGTTCTGTAGCACTAAGGACATATCGATACTGATAATCACATCACAACTTCAGTTTGTCTACCAACCACTCTGAATCTTACAAAGACCAATACAGCCATGAATTAACTTCTGTGTACAGGTTGCAGACTTATTTATGAATTTGACTACTACTACCAGTCTATACTTTCCAAACATCTGACTCCTCTGAATGAAAAGTGTATCTGAAGAATAAGTTACACACATGCTACTATTTACATAAAACATGCATCCCAAAAGGAAGATAGAGGCAGCATATTTGCCTTTTTTTCTTTTTGCCTGCAGTTCTCCTTTTGCTCTTTTCTCCACTCCAGCAAATTCAGGTGCGTGCACTAGCTATTATTTCAGAGAAACGTACTCAAATTTGCATCTTTCTGAATGATGCAGTTGGCATCAAACCAGGAGGTGGCCTGGCCCACATGTTATCTTTTCCAGAGAGAGGCATAATGATATCCACTCTATACGACAGATGCTAATGAGCTTTCCTTCACTGCAGTACTTCAGTATGTAGAACACTCAGAGACGAGTGCACTGCAATGGTTCAGAAAAAGTCAGCAGATTATTAGGGAGTTACTACATCTCTACTAGCATGTTTATACTGCCTTTACTCTGAGAATATAGCAATATCAAATTCCCAGAATCTGTAGACACTTCACTCCTCACATGGAGTAGGAAAGGGCATCAAGTTTGGACTGATGCTGCCCACAGTGAAGAGCAACTGCTACTTGAAGCATTTTACTCCCCCAAATCACCCTTTATTTCTATCAATCCCTTAGCCACAAATTTCCTTTTGTATTTACAATTGTCATGTGTGTGTAAGTGACTGCATAGGCAGTAATTAGGATGAAGCTATGCAGGTAGCATTTGCTAACTTTGGAAACATGTTCCCCTCTTCTTCTCTGAAAATGAGAGAGCTTAATGTAAGTTAAGGAGGTCACTACCTTATCTGAATCAGAACCTGTGAATAGCCTTTCAAGAACTTCAGCAGCCTCCTTGAAATATCCGTTTTCCATATGAACTGCTACAACCTACAACAAATATAATTACAAGATATGCTGAAATACATTTCATCCGAGATTCAGAAAAAAACCAAGAAAGTCACACTTTTACAGTTTTGTAAGACTTCCAAAATCCAGACGATTCTGTATTTAAGGGTTACCAACAATTATCTAGTTATAAGCTAGTTCTGAAGTAATACTAAGTCTCATGTATCAAGGCCTAAAACCTCTCCATCGGGCATTAAAAAAAGACACTAATTGATGCAAAATGTCCCATACTTACCTACTAAGTATTGCTTTCATCTTTCCCTGAAAGACTTTCACAGTCCTAGTAGCTGTCAACATGTTTTTACATGTTTCTTTTTGAAACCAAAAGTTTTCTAACACAGAATTATTTTTAAGCAAATAAAAAAGCTATTCATAATGTATTTTAAAGCTCAAGATACTAGTGTTTTGAAATTCCTATCTCAGTCGATATCTCACAGGGACAAGCAGGAATGAATTTAGATAGGAAAACTTTCCCTGTACACATCCATTTGCTCTGTACTTGAAAATAAGACAAATTTAGAAAATCCAGTTCAGCCTACTAACAGCCTAAACTTTTTGTAAATGAAGTCCTGATTTAGCAGAACGAATAGGTAGCATCCTAAAGCATTTGAATAAGTCACGCAGACCTGAACTTGAATCAGGCGACGAATATCTTCATGAAGCTTTTCCAGTTTGATTTCTTCCCTTTCAAGTGAAGTCCAGCAAGACAAAGCAGATTCTAGAGGTGAAATTCTTTGATCATTTTCAAAATGGCATTCTTAAGGAAGAAAAAAAAAGAAAAGAGGTATTTAAAAAAACTTAAATGATTAAGCTAAATATATTACATTATTTATACACAATAAAGTAATATGTGCTATACATAATTTCAATTCCTTTTTCCTCAACTAATTTTTAATATTTCTCTTCAGGTGTGTTTAAGAGACCTGAAGTAACTGCTTTCTTTTCAGAGAGACTGGTTATTCCTACCCTTACTAGTAACATTACTGTTGCATTTTTAAGGGAGATTATGTGTCTGCTAATTATTGTTCACTTAAAATGCTACTCGGAATAGTGCTAATTTTAGCACCATGTACTTGAGCTGGCATTAATAATACTCTTACATTAAGCTTGGCATCAGATATTAAAACAATTGGTACTGATACTGTTAATTTTGTAATATAACCACTATCCTAAGTGTTTTTTCCTAAGTCTACCTCTATATTTCCATGTCTTAACTTTTTGTTATATTTGAAGGCATTAAACTGAGAGGGAAATTCAAACAGCTTAACACAGGAGCATCACCAAAAAAGCAGAAGCATCCCATGTCATTGTACCACTGTGCCAACACCAAGTTTTGTGTAAACTCCAGAGAGCTGGATCAGTGACCAGTTCTGGCAGAAATCTATCCCAGCCCAATAACCATCCCCTCAACACTCTAGAAAGAGTTTCCCAGTCTGGTCTTCACACTTCTGCACAAGTTGAGTGTGCCAGCATCACAGATGGAGTAGGAGTTGGCAGGTGCTCAAGATTGCTTTATTCCCATGGCACTTCCAGCTTAGCTCAAGCTGTTCACTGAACTACAGCCTCACTTATTCCTTCATTTTATGACATCATAGCAGAATCTCTCTCAATATCTTCTTATTCCTTACAGTAAGTATTTTTCAGAAAGAAGGTAAACAATTTAAGCAATACTGAAAAAATATAGAATATTTTATACCCACTACAGTAAAAGACACGGAAAATTTAAATAGTTACATGTATATGTACGCATTAAAAAAAACACCAAACACTTCTGTATTTTTCTAATAATTGTTTCAATTAAGTAATATTAAATTACTTATTAAAGTTCATATTAAGTTTCTTTTAATATTGTAAAAAACAAAGTTGTAACGCTTAAAGAGTTAGCATCTTAAACAGCCTACTCTGTTTTAAGGCTCAGTATGGATTAGGTATTTTAATAACTGGAAAAGAATTAAGAAAGCTATCACATAATGTATTAGCTTTCCATGTACATTGTGCAACTACATTTGATGTAAACCCTACTAAGCACGTGCAATCTTCCTTACCACACAGGTCATTCTCTACACTGATAGATAAAAACCACATTGAAGTCATTCCCAAGTGTTCTGCACAATAATATAGTTTTAAAGCATTATCAGTAAAGCCTCATAATTTGTATATGATGAACTATTTTAAATATTAGAATTTGATCCTCAAGTTGAACTAACTCAAGAAGAGTGTTATTACCTGACAAGCAACCTGAGAAATTCCATTTTGGAAAAAAAACAAGCCTTTGCGGCACTGCTAGGCTGGAGTACACTTTTTCTTCCATGTTTGTGCTGGTGAGACTGCTTTTGAAGCCATTAAAATCCAATGAGTTTTATCAAGCAGTGAAAACTTGGAGCAGAAAAGGTAAAGCTTACAGAAATTTGAGAACGGAAGAAAAATCAGCTTGGCTAAACCAGTAAGTTGTGAATGCAGCCGAACAAGAGACATGGTAGTGAATAAGAGTCCCAAGGACCTGCTGCCAGTTCAAAGTCTTACAGCTGTCTGTAAGAAACAAGGGCAGTTATCCTTTCCACACATATTCCTGTGCAGAAAGAAAAGCACATTCTGTGCTTTAAAAACTTGCAAATATTGCTCACTAAGAACTACTCAATCTTTTCCAGGATATTTCTTTTGCTGATGCTACTCTGTAAAAAAAAACAAAAACAAACAACCCAGAAAGACCTGTAATTTAAGAAGCACATGGTCATTCAAACTCAAAGCACCTAGATCTGTCAGCACAGAATAACACCGGTCCTGCATACAGCTCAGTCACATATGGAATAGACAGGCTCAGTCATTTTCTTTATATTTATGTACAGTAAAGGCTATGTGAAAGCATACCTAACATCTCTCTGTTCAAGTTCACACAGATCTATTCAAGTGCAGAAAAAACAAAAAGTATTTACCAAGGTTCTTTCCTTTGGCAATTCTTATCAAAAGCTGACAAAGATACACTGTTTTCTTCTGATGTGTAGGTATATTGGAGAGGCCATTAATAATAGCTGGAAAAGAAAAGTTTAAGTCAGTCTTGCACTAGCACTGCCACAGTGTGGCTAGAAATATCCTAGACACTTATCAGACTTCAATAATCTACTAAATTTCTAATTCAATAGGAAACTGATAAAACACATTTAGTTTATGTTCTTCCATGTTAAAAGAACTTAAACCATATTTTAGAATTTGGCCAGAAAAACGTATCCCTCTTGCAGTTCACAGCAGTAATCTAGCAGTGATAAGATGCATCACAGGCTTATATTCGTCAAATTAGAAGACCACAGTATCTTACATAAATAAATAAAGCTTTGCTTTGCTCTGTAGTTTACCACGAAAGACAACTGTCTGCCCCTTAGTACATTTCTGTGGAAAGCCCACAAAACACAAGCCAGATGCAGACTGGTTACACTTACATGTTGCTATAGCAATCGACAGACCTAGAGCAGTAAAAGCTACAAGGAGAGCTTGGTCAGAAACATAAATCTGCAAGGAAAATCCTTCTTGCAAAGTTGGAAGGTCACTAGGATTATAATTTTAGAATAGGAGCTACCATGAGATTATTTCCATCATGCTGGTTACTGTGAACTTCATATTTTAATAGGCTGGATATAGTAATTCATTTTCACAGCATAATACAGAAACATTCAAAATGAAAAGTGAAGAATCTGTTGAGTGACTTGTTTAAGCTGCAGACTGAACACCCTAGTTCAGGAAGTGTTCATGTATCACTTTTGGTGTCAGACTAGCAGAAGACAGGATTATGAGCATGAGACCCTCAAGTTCTGCAATGACTCAACCAGAGTACGTAACACATTGTTTTACTTGGAAGTACTCAGCCTACTTGCTTATTAGTGTATGATCATCTCCTGTGAACAACAGATAGGCACAAAATTACAAAGTAATTAAATAGCCCCTATCCCCTAAGCTAACATTAAGCAAGATGCTGTCGTTGGGGCTTGGAAGAGCACATTTACAACTGATTCAGTGAGGACAGGTGAGATTCAAGAGATTTTAATTCCTATATCCAAAATAGTAAGTAAAAAAGAACATTGCTTAGAACACCAGTAAAGTGCCACTTGTTATAATCACAAATTCATGCAGCTTCCATGGCAGACAATGGAGTTTATTTCAGAAAGAGTTTGGATGAGTGGAATGTTAGAGATAAGCATCATCATCATGCCCTGAAGATGGAGCCAAAGCTTGAAAATTTTGGAAGCAGGCAGAACACTGTAGCTGAACGATTCCACAAAACAAAAGGGGTCATCTTGGCAAGTAGCTTGAGATATTTCAGCTTTCTCTGTTCTTTTAAGATACACCTACATTAGTGCTTTAATTCAGAGCTGGGGTTCAGCCTGGACTGTTTTATTTCCACCACATGCAAATGTTGCTGATAGTATTAAATCGCCTAGAATACCTTGTATCCTAGGAATCTTCCGAAGTCCTGAAAAGACTCTGAAAGCTCTGAAGAGCTGAAAAACCTCATCACTAGTGACCATGGTCATTAGAAGGCTACATGCACATGTAAAAAAATGCTTAAACAGAATAACCGGTAAGTGCAGAAGCACTGTTAGTGCTTTAGCACATTCTTTAGTGTTTCGCTAAAGCAAGCTGCTCCTCACACTTGACTGTGACACACTGTCTTCAGAACAGCCACAGCTGTTGGTGAGACAGAGCAGCCTGAAATGCTTATTAAGCTGATCCTTGAGGTCAAAAGAAACAGGTCAGAATTACCTAGGAAAGATGTTTATTGGACTTTCCTTGGTAGGAAGAGGAGCTGAGTGGAAGATACTAACACTAACTCCTAGTGTCTTTGGCCTTAGAGCACTAATCACAAAGGGCAGAACTGATAGTAGAAAGCACTATGTAAACCTCTGTAAGCTTACCTCATTAACATACTAAAACACCCTCCCTTAAACTAGGTGGAACCCCCACTCACAAAAGCCCCCAACCATCTGAGCATGCATAATACAAACAGAAACGCAAAGGGTTAGCTAGCCAATCATACAGGCAAGTGATACTTGTATACTTGGAGATAAGGTGATTTTACATTCTTTGGCCTATAAAAGAACTCCTGTACTGCGGGGAAGGGGTGCTAGCTTTGGGGGGGCTACACCAAGCACCCAGCTCTGCACAGAAATGCAATACAACAAATACCTCGACTCTGTGTGTACTTCGACTCATTGCACACCTGGTAAAAGAACCCCGATTTCTGGGACAGCACAGATACTTGAAAGCCACAAGCGCCCGCACCCTCAGAACCCGAATGACTGTCGGCCCTCACCCTGCGCCACACCCGTCCACCGCTGGAACTCCGCCGCGCAGCCCTCCCTGAAATGCCGGCACAGGCAGTGGCAAGCAAAGTCCAGCATCCAGTCCGCGACCACGGCTTCCACCTCAACCGCTGAGGGCGGCCAAACCCAACAACCACCCCCATGGAGCCCCCCTCCCCGCCTCAGCCATTTTAAACTCGCCCGCCAACGGCTAGCGGCCCCGCTCCGCCAATAATCTGGCCCGCGCTCGCCCCGCCCCTTGCCGCGCGGCAGCCATTCAACGCGGCCACCTCCTCTTGCGTCAGTGGGTGGGGCTGCGGCGCTCAGTCCCTTGCGGGGGACGGGGCAGTGGAGGAGCGGCCGCCGGGTGTGGGGGTGGCGTTCGGCACGCCGCTGGTAGGACAGTTGGTGGCTGGTATGTGTGTGTGGGCTTGAAGGAGCTTCTCTGCGGGCATCCTCGCTAACGCCCACTGAATAAACGGCGGCTTATGGTACCTTGTCCCCTGGCAGGAGGGTTCTGGGCAGCGTGGGCCGTGCCTGCGCCCGGCCACGGGTGGTCTAAGCACTTTCTTCTGCCGTGTTTGCGTCTTGAGAAGCTTAGGTCTGGCCGGGTGAAGACAGGCGGCCTGTGGTGTCAGAGGCCGAAAGGCTGAATGAGCGAGTGTCCTGCTTGGAGCAGGTGGCCGTGGGAGCTGCCCTATCCTGCAGTTTTAGGGAGACCACAAGGCGAAACAAAGGTGTTTGGGCATATGGGAGGCAGAGGGTGTCCTGTAGGAAATGTAGTCCCATGTGGATTCTGGACAGAAGGCATCTGGAGGAAGGAAGGAGAAGATGTCAGTGTTGCAGAGCCGGGAGACTTGAAGCCTTGACTTGGCAATAAAGCCTGGGATGGAATGTGAAGAGGGACTGGATTAGTTGGAGTGTGGAGTGCATCTATGTCCAGAGAAGGAGATAGGAATCCTATGTATATTTTAAAATGTTAAACCTAAGGAGAAAGAAAGCAATCTACGATAAGTTAAATTTAAGGCAAATGCTGAAGGGCAGAACAGTCTTTCTGTCTAAGACTTCATGGAGAGTGGGATAGTCTGTTGGTAGATGTGGTGAAAGTGTGAAAGACTTTAATTTGAGCTTTACTGCTGGGATGGACGGTGTGATATCAGAAAGCAGAATGAGTGAACTGGTAGGCCTTTGCTGCTGTTGACTCCTGTGGTCACTTCATATGCACCTTGATGATGGAAAAGCACAGAAAACCCTCCAAAGCTAATGGAAAATGCCTTAGGGAACTTAAGAAAACAAGATCATAAACTATGTATACTTGACGGGTAGGGTAAATAATTAAACAGGATAACCAAGTAGCTTAGGACAGTTTGGAGAACCACTTTGTTTAACGTACAGGACATACAGGAACAAGAACAATGATGTATACCAAGCCAAGTCTGCAGGTGGTTATGAAGTCAGTGCTACCTCTACGCATGCTACAAGCGAAGGGTCACCAAGAGGACGCCTGTGGACCAGTGAAGAAAGGAGCCAAAATAGGCTGGACTTAGGATATTAGTTCTACAAAGAGATGTGTTTATTCACAGTAGTTAGGATGCATATGTATTAGTATAGGGAATAAAAAGAACCTGTGTGTAACAACTAGTGGGAATCTCAGGTGATTCTGAGAGGACCCTGGCGCTGTATTAAACAATACTCTCTTAAACCTCTTACGAGTATTTAAGTTTTGTTTTCAGATCACCCCTCTGGAAATCAACCTGCAGCAGTCTTGCTGTGCCATAAAGAAACAGAGGTCAAACAGAGAAGAAAATACAAATTTTGACTTAAAAAATCGTATATTTGGACATCTTTATTAATAGAATATAAGATTTAAATTTTCACTTTGAAAGAGACTTAATACTTGGCAGTAGTTGTAAGCTTATGATGTAGAAAGCTTACAGATGGGTGCTTCCATGTGAATCTACAATGTCTGTCTTCAAGAACATGAATTCTTTACACTGGGCAAATTTGCTGTTACTTGCCAAATTGCTTGATAGTACTTCAGGATGACGGCAAGCCTGAAACTGTGACGGGCTGCTGATAATGACATGCAGCAGTTAGACATAAAAAATGAGATCATTATGCATTAATCTTTAAGTGAGCATGCATTTTGGGGCTTTTGTAGTAGAAACTGTGGGAGGAATGTATATCAAAGCTCAAAATTACCATGATCAAACAACAGCAGGAACAAACCTGCAAACTGTTGTTCTTTTTTTTTTCTCCTTGGTATTAGTCCTGTTCAGGTCCTCTTTGCCTCCAGAGGATTATAACTGCAGTGGTTCAAATGGAGAGAGACTTGATAGTTTCTTGAAAATGTACCTTGGGAAGCCACAGTAGTCACTTTGACCTGTTAAACGACAGAAAATGCCCTCACACCAGTGCCGTATATCCACACTACGTTCTGTGACAAACACTTGAGTGTTGTCTGACTTTTCTTTAGTGATCAGCTTTCTTTATGGGTGAATGTTTGTATTTAAAAGATCTCTACCTCTAAGACCCAGAAAATGCAAGATACCTTAGAACAGTACTGCAACATTTCTGCCTGGCTTATGAGCAGCATCAGCTTAAAACACTCTCTTCAATCTGAAAACAGCATGTGAAAATTCTTCTAATGTAATTAATGTTTCAGCTAGAAAAGTACAAATTTAATTTCATTTCCAAACTCCTTCCTGCAGCTGGTGCCCTTCTGCACTTGCCCTGCACACCCACAAAGGAGCCCTGAGAGACAGTGGCAGGCGAGGGAACCCCAAATAATCCCCTGCCCTTGATACTCCCAGGCCCACCACAAACCTATCTCCACAAACCCAGAGGAGCACAGGACACCATGGCAGGCAGGAACCGAAACTGCAGGCTCCCAGCAATAAACACTCTATCTGGGCCCCTCCCAGGGCTGCCCCAGGAGAACCTCAGCCCACTGACCCTGTGTCCACACGTGAAACCCATCAGCATCAGTCACTGGGAGCAGCTTTTTGGATCTCCTTTTGGGTGCTGCTGAGGAGTGGGACACATGATGGGATGCAGGAAGGAGTATTTTGGGGTTGCACATCATGACTTCTGGGAGGAACCAAAGGGAGGGATTTAGGTGATATGGAGGAGGGACAAGTGTGGGAAAATAGAGGGGCAAAGGGATAAAAAATGTTGCACGAAAATGGTTGGTATGGTTTTCTGTGCTGGATCAGTGCAGTCTCCTCTCTGCTCATTAAATTAATTTTTAACACCTTCCTTGATGAGGGCTCCAATGTTTGTGTCTGTGTGTGTGTGTCTGAGCTCAGTGGACCTCTGTCCTGCTTAGCCAGAGAGGGGTGGAGGATTAGGCTGTTGGTTCTGTCAGTGTTTGCATGAGTTCTCTGAGTGTCTGCCTGTGATCTCTGTGGCTGGCTGTGTGTATGTATAGATGTGTGGTTTGCATGTGCTTTCTGTGTGTGTGTGCCTACTGGAAATACATATTTTACATGTTTTTAAACTGGGCATTAATGTTACATAAATTAATTTTCTACAATTATTTTCTGGATTTTATAAGGAAACAAATACAGAGAAAGGAAGGATATGGATGTAGGACAAAGGTAGCCTGACCTTGAACTTTATTTTAAATGGGCCTGACAGAATTCCTAGCTGGACTGCGGAGGTTCTTGAGCTGGTGTGACCGGTTGGTCAAAGGTTATAAACCACAGTGTTAGATTAAGTATGAGTTTTTTTCCCCTTGGAGAATGCACTGAATTCCAGTGGCATTTTGTACTGATTTGCCTCACTACTCAGTATTTTGCATTATTACTCCAAATACGGTGTTTTGGAATACATGCTAGCACTCCAGCAGTTTTAGAGTCCCCCCAAAACATTGTCTATTCTTTTTTCCACGGAAAATACAAAACCTGTGGTTTCCTTGTTCTGAAGGCCTTCCTCTTAGATCCCTGCATGAATTGGTCTTATGTATTTTCATCTTACTGCAACCAGAATTGAGAATCCTATTAAAAAATATTTATCGGAGAAGCTACTGAGGTGGAAAAAAGAAGTCATGCACTGAAAACTCCAAGGTCCCTTTCACTTACAGAGGCTTTTGTGGTGTTAGTCCAGTTTATCCATTTTGCTGTCTTTTCTGCCTAGAAGGCACACTTTGAAAGCTGCTGAGCTTTCCCAGGCGTGTTGTGCTACACTCTTTTGTTGCATGACAGAGCTGCTTCTCGGATCACAAACTGTAATTTCTCCTGAGTGTTATAGCATAGATTCTTTTTTTATTTTTAATCTTACTAGCAGTGCTGAGCCATGAGACCGATTGAACTGGTAGACACTTTAGAATGAGATGTATTCAAATCCTCACAACCATGAAACATACATTTAGTTATAATAGTGGTTCTATAGTATTATGTGCAGTTACTTTGGAACAAAGGTGAAAGAGATGGTTTAATATTCCTGATATGCATTTAATCAGCTGAAGTGCTGCTCTACTGTAATATTCTTTATTAAATTAGTTCAATGCTAATAGTTATGCAGTATAGAATGATGGAAAAATCAAAGTAGCAGAGCCTCAAAAGTTCTGTTAAAAGAATATTACTGAAGTTATTAATCATATATAGAAATAAAGGATCAGACCAAACTTCTGGTAGAATACTGCCGAAAATAACAGTTCTTGGAAAATCACATCTGTCTAGAAATTACTGACAGTAGCTTTCCATTTAGTGAAGAATTTTATTTATGAGTATGTCGAGATTGTGCAAGGGTAATACCATATAGACATTTCACAGATTTATGGGTATTGCTCCTGAGCCAATGGTACAGAAACAATGAAATGCAATAAATTTCTAGGACAAGAAAAATACAATGGGTGAGGTTGGTTTGTGGTAGAAAATGGTAAAAGCTCTGCAACCCTGTTCTGTCTCCTTGATTCTCTGGTCATGCATCTGCTGTGGTCTCAAATGGTTTAATCTTTTCAGGCAAAGTGGCAAGGCTGAACCAGTGACTGACTCCCTTGTCTATTGTCACAGGCCACGTGAGTGCTGGGAAACTCATATGGTGAGGTCCAAACCCAACATTTCTGTATGAAAGCCTGTTTGGAAGCTCTGGAGGTCACTGCAAAAGCACATGGCCCCTTTGTGGGTGGATGCTGTTGCTTCTGAGTCCTTACGAGACTCTCATCAGTGGGAAAGGAAGAATTTTCTGGTTAATGAACTAGAGAAAGTGTAAGAGGAAATGAGTGGAATTTCCTGGGATTTCATCAGGAGCAAGGTTATTTATTATGTAACATAGACGTTCCCATTTTGCCTTTCCAAACTTAGATTACTTGATTTGGCATTACACAGTTCTCCTACTTTCTTTATAAATAAATGCATTTTATGGATAGAATGAAAGGGGAATTTAAAAATAAATGAAAGGCTAGATTTGTCCTGTTGAGAGTGCTATTGGCACTTGTGAGATAATTTGGGTGATTTCTGAAGCTTAAACTATAGATCTCCTATATGCTTTAAATACTAGACATCTTAATGGCTTATTAGGCTAATATACATATGAAAGAATAAAGGTTGCATTATTCTCAGCTAATGTAATGCAGTTTTAGAGACAAATGTATTATAGTATTCAATATAACAAACTCAGCAGGGTCTCCTCCTCTTTCCTGAGATTAATTCACACACAGAAGAGGAATTGATAGGTATTTTATTCTGCCACAGCTGAAGAGCTACATTAGAGACTCAAATGGCGTTAAAGACAATGTAGCTGACTACATTATCACTGGCCATGTCAGCATCGCTGAGTGTCAAACCAATGTTTTACCACATTGCATGAGACACCCCTTAGCAAGAAAAATGGTAACTTGGCATGTGTATAGCATTGACCATCGTCCATCTTGCTGCCAGAAGCAAATACTTCTCATGTTTTGACTTAATGAGATGTCTCTTTGTTTTAACCAGGGACATACACTTACAGCCCATATGCCAAAATCCTGATGAAGTCATATGGAATTCTCCTTGGCTAAGATCAAGTCATTTTAATCAATTAAACAAATCCATGTTGTTTACAGGCTTTAATTATTTTAAATTACCTTTATGGATTACATTTTATGTAAATGAAGACTGCCTGATAAAGATATGCAGAATGAGTCCCTGAGATACTGGTCAGATACTGGTATCTCTGGTATACCGAGTAATGACTGATATTTGGCACTGTTTTCTGTGGAACTATCCCTGAGATACACAATTTCAGTTTAGGTAACTACATTTCCATGAAATGATTGTTAGAGACCTCTTGGAAACTTTGCTTGTTTAGAAGTCATAATTTATTTATGTGTTTATTTATTTTGCTTAGTGTGCCAGGCACTAGGAACTAACAGCTTTGAAACTGTTCCCAGTATGAAAATAAAGTATTGGAAATATAATTATCTTGCTCAAGTGGTTAGCTGAACATTGTATGTGTTTAGCAGACTGGGAGAAGGAGAATGGACTTGCAACAACTTTAATATCGTGAAAGTATTAAAAAGAGACATACTTACCTGTGTATCTGTAAAAGTGACAGTGAAAATAAGTTATAGTTAATACCAGAAAACCTGAAAATTTGAGATTCATCTTAGTGGGTGAAACTGAGTCTGGTGCTGTTATCAACCCAAGCTTCCAAATGAAAGGGGAATCATTTACTGTTGTTTAAAATTTAAAAGTGGGAGGTTAGTAGACTTCATTTGATTTCTAACACTCTGTTTTCAATAGCTATTGTGACAGGCAATGCTTCTGAATATATGCACGATAACAAAGTAGTTTGCCCTGATCAGACATATCACAATGAGTGTCAAATTAATTTGCAACATTAATACACTCCTAGAATTACAATTTTATTCATTCAGAGCTCTGGATACATTGCTGACAGTCCCTGTGATTTAATTCTGCAGAAGTCATGATTAGAAATTCCAAGGAGAACAAGACATGCTGATTATCAAAAAATCACTTTCAGTGTTAACTGTGAGGAAATACTGAAGTGTCTCTTTTCTCACAGAAAGCAGAGGTAGCTGCACATTTACGCAGTGGTGCCTCATTAAGTTTGTTTTTATTTTGTTTGTTTGCCTTGGTGAGAATGAGGACTCAGACAGGAAAAACAGTAGCTAGTATTTTCTGTTACTATTTAACACCATAGAATTGATTTTTTTTGTATGTACTAAGCTCTTTATTTCTTTTGGTTATTGGGAATCTAATTTTGTCCTCCCCAAGAAATGGGGGTAATTTTCCATTTAGTTTTGAAAAATTTCAACTTTTCTCCAGTTCTTAGAAGGTAGACATACTCATGGAATTTGCTTGAAGTGTTTCAGCTGGGCTTGCTTATATAGTCCTGATGAGAAGCGTGGGGAATAATTAAAGCCATAGTTCTACTGTTGCTTCCATAAGAAACATCTTATTTTGGAGATGAAACATTTCATGACAGAATTAAGTTATTCTAGTCTATATACACTTTAATTTACGTCAGGTATGTAAGCCTCATAGCAATCGTAGTGATGTGCAGGTGTTACACTTCCATTTTTCTGTGTGCATGGGAAATGATGTCCTGGCATACACCTTCTTTTGGTTTAACTATGAATTAGAGCTGTGAGAACAGTGAGGTCCTCCTGTCTGCTGGGCCTTGGTGAGCTGACAAATCCCTATAGATTGCAGCTGTACCATAACAGGTTTGAGAGGTATTGCAGTTTTGTTTTGCAGACTACTGTGCTAAGACAGTGCTAGATTGTATACATACTGTGTGCATATGTGTATGTATATGTAGAGTCACATGTACAAGTAGTCACTGGACTTGCCACTGGAAGACGAGTCACAAATACAAGATATTTCTATCATGTAGTAAGTATCCTTTTGATGGAATGGAGAAATGAAGACATGGTTCCCTTCTAAGAATGGTAAAATGATGCTTGCTTTTTATATATGTTAATGAAATCATTAAACCAATAACATTAAATGATTAAAATGGAAAAGGTGGTAAATAAAAGTATTTCCTTGAGTGGCTGAGCTAATGAATTCTACCTTTTTATGGATCTGTGCTTTGTGGTTGGATGCCTTAGTGTTTAATAAGGTAGAAACATTT